CGGCGTGGAGGGCTCGGCCACGCTGTTCTACATGGTGCACTGTGGGAAGGCTCTGTACAACAACCTGCTGTGGAGCAACTGGAGCCCAGCGGCGCTCTCCAAACTGGTCATCATCGGGAACAGCTTCCGAGGGATCGAGGAGAGGTCTGTGTTCCCCCCCGGATTGGCTCTGGTGCATCTAACTCTGCTTTGCTCTCTGCCCTCCCTCTGGTCACTCCAACCCACTTCCCTCTTCCTCCACTCCTTTTTTTTTTTCTAATTGTTTCTGGGAATGGTTTCCATGTTTTGCTCACTTGGATTGCCATCAGGTCTGTCCCACCTTCTCTGTCCTATCCCCCTGTGCCGAAAGCCTGTCTAAATCCACAGGAATATCTTGTCTAACATAAGCATCTCCTGTTATTCCAGATTGCTGTCCAGAATATTGGAGAGAGATTATTCCTACATAGCAAAGGTATGAGACAACTGTGTTGACAAAACACCTTTTAATGAGAAAACCTTTTTGCTGGATGCTATAACATAAAAACAAATCACTTTAGGATTGTTGTATCCCTGCAGCACACGCTGCACATAGGGCTGAGCGTGAGGGAACAAACACCATCCTCATCTTCACTGACAGCTTTGCACAAAGGACTTCTGTGTCATCCATAGCTTTTCCCCAAATGCTCTGTAGGTCTTGAAGGGGACGGAGGAGGTGGCACTTCCCACTCACCCTCGCTACATGGACACCTTCAACGACACCTCTGTCCACTGGTTCCCCTTGGACAAACTGCAGGAACTCTCCCCTGAGGTCTGGGACTTTGTGGAGGAGCCAATGTACCAAGACTGTGAGGACCTGGAGATCATCAGGAAGGAGGATGGAGCTGCTGCCAAGTCCTGACCACTCACTGCAGCAGGAGGGTTTGGATCATGTCTCTTCCCATGGAAGCTTCTGCACAGCCTCAGCTCCAGCAGTGACAGTGGCATCAGGCTCTGTCAAAGTGGCAGCACCTGAACACTGAGTTGATGGGATAATTTTGTATCTTTATTTAATAAAAAGGTAAAGGTGAGCTTGACTTGCACTCACTGAGCTGCAGCAAATTAAATCCACTAGAACCTGCCCTTTGCACTATCCACACTGCACAGTGATTGCTCCTGGATCTCTTCCCCTCCCATGGACAGTTCAAGGCCTTTGCACACACTACACACATTTCACAGCATCAGAGGGGCAATTGGAGGTGTTAGTGTCTAGTTCCCAGTGCAGGCTGAGAAAGCTCTCACAGCTGCTCAGTGCTGCTGAGATCAGCTCTGGATCTGTTCTGTGCACAACCAGGTCAGCTCCCTCCCTCACCTCTGTGGTCCCACAGCACCTGCTGTGTTTCCTGAGAAAAGTCCTCCACTCTTGCTCTGTGGTGCCAGGGCAGAGGGAGCACCTGGCTGAGGGAGAGAGGTGGGACAGGCCCTGGCTGTGCATGGCAGAGAGGAGCTCACTGCACAAGGATGTTGTAGGGACAACAACTCACTGCCAGCACAGCACACAGGCAGCAGAAGCTGTGACATCTGTCACTGGAGATCCTCAGGACTCAGCTAGACCAGCCCTCACTCTCTGTGGGAGCAGGAAATCCCCTCCTGTGGTCCCTTCTAACCCACTGATAAACCTCTGTCAGAGGTGGCAATTTCACAAGTGTTGAAGCTGCTCATTCCTCCCTTAGCCTGGGTTTCCAGTGGGGAAACCTGTCCATCCACACTCAGCACTGCCTGAGCAGCTCCTCCAGGAAACCCATCCTGGCACACAGCCTCCTGTCAATATTTACAAACCTGTAACCCCTTTGTTCTATGTGCCACCCTAAGGCTGTCCCTGGGTGGTCTGAGCTCCAGCAGGGCCTCACTTGGCCATGTCGATGAGGCTCTGGAGGGAGGTGGGCACCCACGTCTTCTCCCCCTGCACGAACACCACTCCCCGGTCGATGTAGATGACGATGCGCCCGAAGGTGTAGAGCTGCTTCCCCTCGTGCCTCTTCCCGATCACGGGCATGAAGACGATGTTGTGCTCCTCGGCCTTGGTCTGGATGAGGTCCTTGAAGTTCATGGGGACGGAGCTGGCGGCGGCACCGATGCCGCGCTGGGCCATGTTCTCGGCCTCGCGCCGCTCCTGCATCGCCTCGTACTGGAAGTCCTTGCGCCGCTCCGTGTGCGTCAGGTACGCGATGTTCTCCCTGGCCCCGGGCTGCATGTACCCTCCTGTGGGAGACACACCTCAGAACACGGCCCCAGGCTAGGGGGAAACTCCACCCGGGACACAGAGCAATCAACACGTCTGGAGTGGTGGGTTAGTTCTAGGCTCCTTGGGACAAGGAGCTACTGGGGAGAGACTTGAAGAGGCCACGGAGATGATTTGGGGTCTGGAGCATCTATCTGATAAAGACAGACTGTGGGAACTGAGCCTGTTTAGTCTGGAGAAGGCTGAGAGGGGATCCCATCTATCCATGCAAGTATCTCCAAGGGGTGTGAGGAGCAATGGCCACAAACTAAATCACCCCAAATTCCACCTTCAAATGAGGAAGAACCTCTCCATGGAGGTGGCAGAGCACTGGGACAGGTGCCCAGAGAGGGTGGGGAGTCTCTCACTCTGGAGACATTCCAAACCCACATGGACATGTCCCTGTGTCACCCTCTCCAGGTGGCCCTGCCTAAGCACGGGGTTGGTTCCCTTCCAGCCCCAACTATTCTGTGATCCTGTAAAATGCTCCAGATCCTCCCACACACATTCTAATCCATTAAGTTTTACACTCCAGACACAACACAAACTAGATGGGTGGATTTGGCAACTGCACAGAACCAACTGGATTTGATAGAATCCCAGATTGTATCCAAGCAGAGACAATCCCTTTAGGTCCCAGGGAGTTGTGGAAAGAGAGGGCACTGCTGTAAAGCTAAGGAGAGGAACCATTATCTCACGAGAAAAATATAACCCAATACATGACAGCTTTAGAAGTGAACCTCTCATGATAGTCCCTGAGGGACAGGACATGCCCTGGAACAGGTGTTCAGTGGCCCAGGCAGCCACCACAAATCTGCTGCTGCTTCAGTGCAGCACAGAACTAAGGAGTAGCACCTCAGGGGTGTTATTTAAGGACACAGCAAGGCACAGCACTTGGAATTTCACTGCCCATGAGAGCTGCTGCCATGCCCATAGCAGGGCCATGCCCCAGTCAGCCTCCCAGGAACCACCTGTGGCTGTGCCACCTCCCCCCAGGAGCCACCTACCCACACTGGAGGACACAGCACGGTTCATGATGTCGAGGGCTTCGTTGAACTTGTCCTTGATGGAAGGGTGTGCCAACACCTGGTCTGAGAACATGGACTTCCAGCCCAGGTACCACTTGGTGATCTCCTCGTAATTGGGGCTGTTACTGAGCCAGGAGCACAATACCTGCAAACAGGGACATGGATCAGAGGGAGCACAGGGATGGAATCACAGAATATTCAGAGCTGGGAGGGGCCCACAGGGATCCCACAAGGATCACTGAGTCCAGCTATTGGTCCTGCACAGGACATCCCCAACAATTCCACCGTATGCCTGAGAGCATTGTCCAAATGCTCCTTGAGCTCTGCCAGGCTTGGGGGCTGTGACCTTGGTGCTTGGTGCTGTATGTTTGTGGAGGAGAGACCTCACTGCCACAGAATCCCAGGATCATTTAGATTGGGAAAGACCTCCAAGATCACTGAGTCCAACCTGTGACCCATCACCATCTTCTCGACTAGAGCAGAGCACTGAGTGCCACATCCAGTGAACCAAACCTCTTTACTCAGCCCTCACAGTGTCTCACCTGCAGCCACTTTGGGAAGAAATGTTTCTCCAGCAGCCCCACAAGGCTGGAGACAGAAATCATTCCCTCCCAGTCCACCACCCAGTAGAAGGCATCCATGTGCTGCTGGTGAGGGTTGATGATGAGCTCATTTAAACACATCCCTGGGGAAGGGAGAGGGAGAGTTAGGAAAGGACCTGAGTCAGTGTCATCACTGTCCTGACCAAACACATGATTTTAGGAGCACCTGGATATTACCCTAAAGGACACTGGGGATCTTTGGCTGATCCTGCACCAAAATGGTGCATTTCCACTTAAAGCAACTACAATTTGCTGCCAGAACTGAGAGACTTATACCCTTTGATTGTTTCTTAGCCTCTGAGCCAGTTTGAGTTACAAAACTTGTGGTGAAAGCATTAGCACAGCCCAAGGAATTCAGGCTTTAAAAAAATAAGACAGAAAACATTGAGAATAATCAGAGTAATTCCTCTTATTTTTCCAAGATGTTTGCCTCTGCACAGGACTGGTAGCAGAAAAGAAGAGGTAAGCTTGATCTGACCTTACTAATAATGTTCTCTGAAGTACTACTGGCACCCACATATCCTTCCTAGGTGTCAGGGGGAATGTGTAACCAGCAGATCCCCAAAATCCAGCACTGTTTGTCTCACCTAGTTTAGGGACAATGTTTTTGACCATGAAAGCCTCCCAGGAGCCAGGTGTGAACACATCCTTCCAGGGCTGAAGGATGAGCTTGGCAGACGAGTCACTGGGATGCCACTTCTGCAGGGCATTGGCCAGTTTGTTCCGGATGGGAGAGTACAGCGGCTCCAGCCGTGCCTGCATCAGGGGCAGCCAGGGGTGGATCCACGAGTGGATGGGGACTGTGTCCGTCAGGGGATTCCAGCTCTCAACCTTGAGGGACAACAGACAAGATGGAGTAAGTCCAGCATTAGCACCAAGTCTTGTCCAGAAGCACAAAATGCCATGATGCATCCCCCAGCTCCTCCATCCATCCACCGGCAGCAGCAGCCAACAGGTGGTTTGGAAGTTCCAGCTGGAATTCAAACACTGGTTCAGAGCATGGTTTCACCCTACCCAGTCCTCTCCTCTCACCTCCTTCTGCAGCTTGGGGAAAATAAGCTGATCCAGAATGTTATCCAGGATCCAGACAGGAACAACATTGACCCAGCTATCCAGGAAATCCACCATGGATCCACAGTTCCTCGGCTGCCACCGCGTCACGATGTTCCTGACATAAGGCATCCAGATCTCCCACATCAGCCTGGAAAAAAACCAAATAAATCAAAGTGAAGCTCAAAGCTCTGGCCCAGGCCTAAATAACCCAAACAGGAAATGTTAGCTAAAGCTGCTCTTCCCTGCCACCTGGATTTTCACAGGCACAGCATGGGAATCATCGAGAAAGCTCCCTTGGGTCTGCTCTTCTGCATCCCTGAGGAAGCAGAACGTGAAGATGTGCACAAAGTACAACTCATTGCTCTTTACCTGTGAAAAGCATCTGTAGACACGTCCTGCCCACTGTGGGATAGCAGCTGGTCGTTCTCCAGAAGGCTCTTCCACTTGGCTATGATCTCCGTGCCGTACGTGCAGTCCTGGGAACGAGACGGCACGAGTGGTCTTTATCCACTTCCATTCATTTCAGCTGGGATATGCACAGAGCAGGCTGCTGGTGTGCTGGGCTGCAGCCAGCCTTCCCACCCCTCACAGGGCAAGCCAGGAGCCTGGAGTCTTGTTAGAGAATCCCAGAATCACTGAGGTTGGAAAACACCTCTACGATCACCAAGTCCAACCTGTGACCAACCACCACCTTGTCAACTAGACCAGAGCACTGAGTGCCATATTCAGTGGTTTCTTGAATGACTTTTAATAAAGTCCCACAAAAGGAAAATCCCACTTTATGGATTTAGCATTGCTCCAGGGAGAGAAGAGGGCAGTGAGAACTTTTCCCAGTGTACAGAGGGAATCCAGACTTACCTATCTCAGCCTAAATGGCATTGAGAATAGACTATGCAGCTCTGACAGCTGTCAGACCTCTCCTTCTTTGGCTAAAAAAAACACCTAGACTTGGCTTTCA